CAAGAATAATGGAAAAATAAACAAAAAAACTAACAAAAAACGGTACCTGTAGAGAGAAGAGAACAGTGTGAGTACAAAATATTTTTGTGAACTTACTTTGTTACATATTTTAACTTCAGAATCACTTAGATTTTTAAAATATAATTTAAAAAGCAAATCAAAAAAGGTAAAAAGCAATCCCTAAGATTTTAAAATACACTGAAACAAACATATCAAGTTTGTAACAATGACTACACAGAAGAAATAATTACTTCAAGTAACTTTAAAATATAATATTTTTGACTGTTTGTCCCTAGTGGGATGTAAGGACACAAAGAACTGCTAAGAAATCTAAGACTGTGTTCAGTAGTCTTATTGTTAGTAGCAGGTCTGGAATTGTTACATTAAAAGGATTATAGCTACATCGTAAGATAAAGCAAATAACTATAGCAATGTCATTAGGAATCAGCATTTTTCAGGGTAAAAGAAAAGATTATAGGTATAAAATCAAAGAAATTAAATAAGAGCCCTGTAATCTGAAACTGGAAATGTAAATATCAATATGGAGTTAAGATTTTTTTTTTTACCTAAAAGATCTGTTTCTAACTTTATTTACTGAAAAGACGTAGAAGCAGTGGCAATAATATAGCATTTAGCATCCCCAGTGACCCAAGTCTACTGTTTTCCACTACAGGGAACTGAGATTTTTTTTGGAGAAATGTCTGGTTCCATATCTAGAGCAGGAGATAGACATCATAATCCTAAAATATAGTAATTGTAAAGTGAGGAAATTAACAAAGGTTAATGGGGTTGTGTCAGGACTACCATAGGCTTAAACTAGAACAATTTGAGCATCAAAAAGAATAATGACTACAATGGATTGAAAACATACCAAATACATAAAAATTAATGCATTCATAATGAGAAATAAAAAGGAACTCATCAGTCACAATTTTGGATTGTTAGAGCAGTAACTCATTTCTTTGAAAATTAATGAAGGTAAAAACTAAGCCTTTATTCTTCCTTTCCTAATCTCTGAGAAACCAGAGGGTTAATGAGAGAATTTAAGCCTTTATTCTTCCTTTCCTGTACAAACTAATCTCTGAGAAACCAGAGGGTTAATGAGAGAATAGACTTCTTTATAGAATTCCAGTTAATAAATGAGAGAGCACTGAAATTGGAAAGTCACTGTTTTGCCACCTCCTAATGAGAAAATGGATCTAGGCAGCAAGCACCAGGTGAAAAAATGATGGAGGAAGTATAATGGAGGGATTGGACTGATGCCATCTGAAGCTATGGAACAGTTTTGGCACTGATAAAACTGTGGCAGCCAATCATGATATGCATCGTGATACAAATAATGGGAAGTACTTAGCACCACTTGAGAAATGTTCTTGTCTAGAAATTTGAACATGACTCCCCCCAAGCCTAACATGAATCTAACAATCAGTTCATGGGAAGAAATACAGGGATCAGAGGAACGAGTTTAAGGAAACTTGTGACAGTCAGCCAAATCTGAAATATGAGACATTTTATAGGCTGAATGACCTGGTTTCTCTAACAAATTGGTGGCATGAAAGAGAAAAAGGCAGGGAGGGAAATTGTCACATAAAATGGAGAGACTTAAGTGATAAAACAATCAAAACAAATAAGAAAGGACCACTCTGGTTAAGAGTAGACCATAGGAGATGAAGAATAAAAGCAAAGAAAACAGTTAAGAAGCTATTATAAAATTCCAGGTGAGATTTTTGACAAGGATGATAGCAAGATGGTGTTGGATTCTGGGTATTTTTTGAAGGTATTGCCAACAGGATTTGCTAATGGGTAGATAAGAAGTGAAATTTCAGAGAGGATTCAAGATGACTCCCAGGTTTTTGGTTTAAGTAACTAGAGGTGGAGTTGCCATTTACTGAAATGGGTAAGACAGGAGAGGCAGGTTTGCGGAGAAGTATTAGGAGGCGCTCCATTCTTAGCTCCGTGTCTTCGGCCTTACAGGCCTTTTGAGTATCCATGAGATGTCAAGGAGGCAGTTGGATATGTATGTGTGGACTATTGAGTACAGGTCCAGATCTGAGATGTAAATTTGGGAGTCCTCAGCATACAGATGGTATTTAAAGCTATGAGACTGGATGAAAGCACAAAGGGAGTAAATAGCTAGTGAAGAGGTTCCAGGACTGAGTTTGTGAGATGGGAATCAACAGCGGAAACAAAGGAGAAACCAGAGAGGTATCCCAGGAGTCAGGTGAAGGAAGGTATGATCAGCTATGTCAGAAGTTTCTGTCAGCTGAGGGAAAACGAGGACTGAGATTCGACCTTTGGATTGAGATGTGGAGATTCACTGATTCACTAGATAAGAGCAGTTTCAGAAAGCCTGAGGAAAAAGGATTCAAGGAAACCTGCCTGGGAGAAGAGAAATTAGAAAATAGCTATTTTGAGGAGTTAGCTGGATGGCAAAGTGTGGTCTGGAGAGGGGTGTTGGTTGTTTTGAGAGTTACTGATTTATTCCTTTTTAGAAGTATTTTTGTCACAGTAATCTTTCCCCCCCAACTTTTTATTTTTGACAAATACCAAATCACAGAAAAGATAGATACTGTATACTCTTCATTAGTTTTACTGTTGTTTACATCTCACTACATTTGCTTTCTCTAGGTATATATTTTCTGAACCACTTTAAAGTTGCAAAGTTTACCCTAAATGTTTAAGCTTATATCTCCTAAAAATAAGGATGTTCTCCTATATAACCACAATATCATCATCATATCCAAGAAACTGAATATCGATATGGTAATATCTAAAATATAGTTTATATTCAAACTGTATATTGTTGCCATTTTAGTGTCAGGTTCAGGTCACCTGTTGCTTTTGCTTGTCACATCCCTGAAGGGATTCTTTTTTAGACTGGGAGAAATAATAGCGCATTCATATGCTGATTTAAAAAAAAATCTAATAGAGAGTGAAAATCAATGCTGCAGAAGTGGGGGAAATTGCCAGAGTGATAAACTTGAGATAGAAAAGATGGGATGTATCCATTGTGGGGGAGGGGTGGCCTTTGATGGAAGCATGGACAGTTTATCCAGGAGGGAAGGCATATCCTCTAGTCAGGTGAGTGGGTGGAGTAGGGGGAGCTTGATGATTGCTTTTATTTTCTTGGTGAAATAGGAAGAATGATACTCAGCTTGAAGGAAAGGCAAAAAGGTGTTGCAAGTTTAAGAAGGTATGAAGTCGTCTGAGATAGTCATCTTCAAACTAGAGAGTGCATATTACTGAATGTACACGAAGACTTTCCTAAGGGGGCATGTTTATGGATAGTCTTAAGGGAATCCTTTTGTAGACCCTCAGTTTTTGTAGGCATGCTTTCAGGAAACTAATGTGTCTGAGAGAGGTCCTCTTAACAATAGGCTTCCTCCCACTTTGGAAGAAAAGTCAGACCCTCACCTATCTCAAATCTAAATTAATTATATCGCTCCTTGGATTGTCCCTGCTGCTTGTCTACTCATTGATTTTCTTATTTCTCTTTATTCTTAATCCAGAAAAACTTACTTTCTGGAAGCAGAATGCACTCTTTAAAGATCCTTTCACCCCGAATTCCCATACTTTATGATCCTGCTTAGGGATTGCTACTTCCTCGTTTCTAATTTTAGCCTTTCTAGTGTGCCTGTCTTTTTTTTCTCATCCGTACTTCACCTCTGCTTCCCTGCCTCTCCTTTGATCATTGTCTTTTCTCTGGTTTTCAGGCTTGGTCACGGTGGCAGGAACAGCTCCTGCACGTACACAGGGAGAGACAGAAGGTGGTCTCTGCAGTGAAACACCATCAGCACTGGCAAAAGTGGAGATCCCTGAAGGCCTGGCTTAAATACCTACAGGTCCGAAGAGTGAAGAGACAGCAGAACGGTGAGCAAGATGTCCTGGGCTTGAGAGCAGAGGGTTGGATCACAATTTCCATTCTTCTTCTGCCAGTTGTACTAGTTAATTAAGGAGAAATGCAACCATATTATGCCACAAATTTTGAAAAAAGGAGATTAAAAAGGAAAATATGTCATCCTTGGTACACATTTAAGTTATTTCTATTCTGGCCTTCTATGCATGTATTTTATTCAATAGGATTTTAATTATGCTGTAACTACTGTGGTTATTACGATTAATGTACATACAGTTTTATATATTGCTTTTTTATTTTTACATAACTAACCAACACCTTCCTATGTCTAAGTATTCTTCACAAATGTTATTTTTTTAAAGACTGTATTTTATAGGATGGCTTACTTTAATCTATTTAGCCATTCTTCTGTTGATGTTTGGATTGTTTGTTTCTCCCCAATAATGCAAATGCATGTGATTTATGATGGTGAGTTTTTTGAACACTGTTCAAACGATTTATTTCCCAACGAGAGTTCAGAAGTAATAATACATAGGTCATGATTGTAAGTACTTTGTACTTTTGTTCTTTGGTTTCTCAAGACTATGCAGATGTGACTTAAGCACTGTTCTAGACACTGGGTTGGGCTCTCCAGCTTTGACCTAGGCCTCCCTGTGGATATCTTCCAGGCCAGCGGTCCTCAACCTTTTTGGCACCAGGGACCAATGCTCTTATGAGATTCTAATGCCCGATGATCTGCGGTAGAGCTGAGGCAGTGATGCTAGAGCTGGAGAGCGGCTACAAATACAGATAAAGCTTTGCTCTCTTGTCCACCTGCTGTTCACTTCCTGCTATGTGGCCTGGTTCCTAACAGACCATGGACTAGTACCAGTCTGAGGCCCAGGGGTTGGGGACCCCTGTTGTAGGATGCTAACACTGTCTCTTGGGAGAATTTGAATGAGTCAAGAATAGTGACAGGGGACCAACATCTGGTTGTCCAAGCCTGTAAGGTGAAGACAGTAAGCTATTAAGCATGATGAGCTACAGACTAACACTCCTCCATTACAGCATTCAAATTCCAGGACTGACTTCCTTCCACTTCTTGGACTTTAGCTCATCAGGCCATTAGCTAATTAGTGTTAAAAGGAGGTGAAGCTGACTGCTTGGATCAGCCTGACTGAAAGTTCAAAAAAGCCTTTGCCAGCATGTTGGCTAAGTTGTATATCATTGACTCAGCCCTTAAAGTCTTATCTGGGAGACATCAGTAAAGAGGCAGAAGTAAAACTGACTCTTTAAAAGCAGCAGTCACCATTCTTACTCATCAGCAGTAACTAGGAGCCTCAACGTTTTGATATTACTGATTTTATAGCATTCTCATCCCTAAAATTACAGACCCTTTCTCTTTCCTTGGAGAGATGAGATGTAGCTAATGGATTCCCAATAACCCTCCCATGTTTTTTAAAAAAATGTTTATTCTGAGATTCTTTGTGAGAGCAACCTTGAATATCTGCTGTCTGCCAGTAATGGACTTCAGCTTGTTTTAAAGATGCTTCCAGCTCATTGCCCAACGTTCGGGGAGGTGGGCAGTACTTCAGTTATTTTCTCTGTTGCAGAGATGGCTGAGCAATTCCATCGAGTCACTGTGCTCCAGACACACTTCTGTGATTGGCAGTGGGCCTTGGAGCAGAGGGAGAGCTTGTATACCCACCAGGCACAGGTGGAGGCACTGGCCACGAGGATGATGTTGCGTCGAGCCTTTACTCACTGGAAACACTGTATCCTTTTCAGCTACCCAGCCCTGTCCACGGCCTCAGCCAAGACAGTGTGATCTCAGCAGCCTATAAGACAAGAGTCTGGAGATACAGGGGAAACAATTGCTAAGCAGTTTGACAGTCCTGATCTGTGTTGGCTTCTTTTTAAATTTTTTTGTTTAATTGGGAATATTCACACAAAATGGTATATATAACATACGTTTACAGTTTAAAGAATAATAAAATGAACACCTATGTACCTATTGCTAACACCCTGTCTGCTCCTCCCTGATTGCATTCCTTTCCTCTTCCTCAGAGGTAATCCCACTATCCTGAATTTTGTGTTATTTCATAGCTTTTCTCTACCCACTAGATGGTGGAAACAGTCATAAATGTTTCTGCTTCAGAAATTCATTTTATTTCATTTCTGTTTCAGAGAGCTATCTGTTCTTGGCGGACCTATCATTACGATCATAGCTTCCATTTATTGGGCTTTTACTACGTGCAGGCATTATGCATTATCCTTAATCCTTATAGTGACTCTGTGGAGTGGGTATCACTATCTCCATTTTATAGATGAGGAAACAGATTCAAGGGAGCTAAGTGATTTTTACACTCACAGCAAGTCATTGACAGAGCCAAGATTTTTTAAGTGTAAGGCTTTTGACTCCAGTGCACATGTTCTTGATCACTGCCCCTACCACGGAATGTGCCCAGGCGTGAGGATCTAGACTGCGTGGGATGTGCAGCCATGCGTTTGTTTGTTCATGAACTCTTGCTTCTTTTTAAACTCCTGCCTAAGATTTGGAATATGGGAAAACTCAAAGACTAACAGTAGTTCATTGTCTAGTGGGGAAAATAGACAGTGAAAATGAGTCTTTACAATATGGCGTGATAGTGCTGTCATAAAGGTTTGTATCAAGTCCTGTGAGAGCTACTGTGGCAATTCAGCCTAGGAGGTGATGTGTGAGCGGAATTGAAATCTTAGGGGTTGACAGGTTCTCTCAGGAGAAATCTGGAAGGGTGTTTTAGGTGGCAGGAATGGCATTTACATAGGCATAGATGAGGAAAAGCAAGGATGGCGACGGGGTCAGTAGTGAGTTGAGGGATGGAGGTTAGCAGTAGGGTAGTGCAGGCAGATGCAGGCTGGGGATCCTTATATGCGATGGTTAGGAATTTGGGCTTTATCCTGATGGCACTGGTGATCTTCTGAAAGTTTTTGAGAAGTCGTGCAGCAGATATGTACTTTAGAAAGGCTAAATCTAGATTGAAGGAGCGAAGCTAGCACAGGGAGACCAGTTATATGAGGAGATTCTTACCATAACTTCAGAGTTTTTAGCTGAAACATCTGACTGGACTGTCAGAGAATGTGGGAGAAAAGGTACGTTCTGCTTTAGATATGGCAGTTTTGAAATGTTTACTGCAATTGGTGGTAGTTTATCTCAACTATTTTTGCCTCGTGAAATGAGCATTGGGGGAAAGGCAAGGCCAGCTGTTTGAAGTAGCTCACATGGTTCACCTTTGCCTACTCTTCCTCGAGTCATCAGGAGGAGAAAGGTGGACATCCTACCTGTCATATTTTGTGATCCCCTGCAGCCAGGGAATCACTAGGACTGTACTGTGCGGAGGTGGGAACCTTGTTGAGACGAGAGGCCTTAACTCCTGGCAGATGTGCTGCTGTGTGCAGAAGAAGCTGCCCAGTGGAAGGTGGCAGAAGAGCACTGTAGGCGCAGCTTGCTGGTAAGCTTGTCAGCCTTGCTCAGGCATCCACCCTTGGGGAACCCGCACCTACATCGTCATACTCTTTGTATCTAGTCATGTGGTGAGCTTCGGTCACAAAGCCTTCTTTCATTGTGGGTGTCTCTGTTCTCATTTTGGCTCAGAGATGGTAATAGTGTGGGGTCAGAGGGGTTTGAAACTTAAAGGAACCTTAGAGATGATCTAGCCCTGGAGCTTTTTATATGGCAGGCCCCCTTTTTAATGGCTGAAGCCTGGTCTGTGAAATTGACCAAAATAGAGATGGTGTGAATGAAGCAAGGCCTGGGGAGTAGTCACTCTTCTACTGGTTGCTTTTCCTCTATTCACCAATACTTTTAGTATCCTATGTGGTTCCACAGAGCGCAGTATGAGAATCCCTGAGAATTCTGTCTCAGAAAACTGAAGCGCAGGGTGTGGGGGGATGGGCTTTGCTTAAGTCACATGTGAGTCATTATTGATGGAGGCAGGTGTGTATGTCCTTCCCTACCGTGACCCTGTACTCACCAAGTATTTCTTCTCTTTCTTCTGTTTTGCTCTCGCAAACTGCATTTATAATTGTACAGGTAAATACGTTGACCTCACATGGTAAAAAAAACAAAACACCATAGGCTAAAAGTTCTCCTTTCTGAGAGGCAAAGTTGATGTTTTTAATCTTTGTAATGTTCTCATCTGAGTCAAGGGACCTCTTCTAGTCAGAGGTGGTGTGTTTGTACCTGTGCATTATCTGTAGATGGCAAGGGGTGGTTCGACAGCTATTAAGTGCCTACTGTACGGCCTGGCTTGTATCAAGCTCCCAATTGAAACTCAAAGCAGAGTAACACTCTCGGGGACATGGGCACAGTTGTGAATAGCTGCGACTGAGCTTGCCACCTGATTTGGACACTGCCGTTACTTTTATAGACACTGCTGATACTGATTGTTTCCTTTTTTTCACAGTACTTTTGCTTTAGAGCCCTAAAAGACAATGTGACCCGTGCCCACCTCCAACGAATAAGGAGGAATCTCGCTCACCAGCAGCATGATATCACGGTGAGAGTCGGACCTCTTCTGATAACCATTCTCTTTTTAACCTTTGTGATTACAGATTTCTCCCTAGACCTTTAGACTCTGAAACTTTAGGGTCTATTTTCTTTAGCAATCCATACTAGCTGATAGAGAAACCCTGGTTTTTGCCTTGTCGAAGCCTATTTTTTATCTGTTTGCTAAGAAAGTTGATATTTGAGTCAGAGGTCAGGGACAGTAGATTCCAGCCCTGACCTAGGGAATACACTTTAAGTCTATACTCTAGGAGGCTTTGGTTGTGTTTACACTGTAAGTCTGTTCTCTTCAGGGGTTCATATACCTGAGGGCAACAAATGTTCTATGTAGATTGTGTTTCCGGACGTAGAAGGATGGTTTTTTGTTTTGTTTTGTTTTGTTTTTAATTATGAAAATGTTCAAACATAGAAAATATAAAGAATAATGTAATAAACTACTATGTACTTACCATCTAAATTCAACAATTGGTAATATTTGCTTTTTTTCTGAATCATTTCAAAGTTAACTACAAATATCATGACATTTACATCCAAATATTTCAGCATGCATCACCCAAAAAGAACATTTTCTTACATAACCACAATATCAATATGATCCCTAACAAAATGAATACCAGTTCACTATTATCCAATACCCAGCCTATAGTCAAATTTCCACTATTGCCTTCAAAATCTTTTAAAGCTTTTTTTTTCACACCAGGATTCAATTAAGGATTGATTACTACATTTAGTTTTATCTCTTAAGGCTCTTAATAAAAACCCCCTGCCGCCCGCCCCCCCACTTCTTTTGTTTAACATATTTATTGTTTAACTGTGATAGAATACACATAACAAGATTTATCATCTTAACCATTTTTAAGTCTATATTTCAGTGACATTAAATGTATTCACATTATTGTACAACCATCACCATTATCCATCTCCAGAATTTTTTTCATCTTGCAAAACTGAAACTCTATCCATTAAGCAGTAACTCCCCATTCTCGTTCTCCCCAGCCCCTGGCAACCACCATTCTCCTTTGAGTCTTTATAAATTTGACTACTCTAGGTACCTCATGTTGACAGTGTTAGCCCTTCTGTGACTGGCTGATTCCATTTATCATAATGTAGACATTTTTTTTAAATGACATTGACTTTTTTTTTAAAAAGACCAGTTATTTTGTACAGTATTTCATATTCTCGATTTATCTGTTTCCTTTTAATGTCATTTGATTTCCTTGTTTTTAATGTTGTTCCTATAAACTAGAAGTTAGATCTGAGGGCTTGATTAGATCGAAGTTAAACTTTTTTTGGCAAGACTACTTCATAGGCAGTAATATGTGGTAAGATCATTTTTAATTTCTAAAATGATATTGTCTTCCATGAGGCCCAGATTAGGAATAGCTTCTAATTTTCATAGACTGAAAGATCCTCCTTTTTGCTTTTTATGTTGGCCTGGAATAGCTCCATATAGCTTAGCCATAATTATTTTGCAAGCCTGTTATATGCTGGGTGCTCCATATTGCTTAATTCTTGCTTTTGGAGTAAGAATTTGCGAACTAATAGATTGAGAGAGATCATTTTACCTTTTTCCCTAATAAACTTCCATTTCCTTCTTATTTTGCTTCAGGTGCTGCGCAGGTTCTGGAAGCTCTGGCAATCTTGGATTGAGCAGAGGGAGGAAAGAGAGCAGCTCCCCTTACTGCGTGCTGCCTGGGAGCACTACAGGTAGGGCCTCTGCCTTCCCCTTACACCTTCCAGACACCTATTGTGACTGACTCACACTTCTCCAGGAGTGATCACTTGCCCTTCCATGTGTTACTGCAGCAGATTCCGAAAGACCCTACTGTAAGCCAGTGGTTCCTGAGCTTGCATTTTCCTTTTGGTTGATCGGGGAGAGGTATGCTGAGGATGTTCATACTGGTTCTTAACCACCGTAGCTTAAAGTGTGTGCCTGCTAGCTCAGTGCCTCAGCCCTTCAGGCTTTAGGGATGGTCATGTCTTCAAATTCATGCAGCGATACTGTTAAAGAAGAAGCTTAGGTCAGGTGAATATTTGTGGCTTGGTTTTGAAGGGTGCAGAGAGTGTCCTCAGTTTTTTAGGATTAGTCATTTAATTAGTCAGTGTGAATCTCAATATTTAACTGACTCTGTTTGGAGTTACCAGGGTTTACCATTATTCTAAATCCTGATTTACAAAACTGAAATGTGGTTCTCACTCTCAGAATCACTGTGTGAAAGGAGTATGTCCCAGACCTGGGTGGTCATAAATAAGCCCCAGTGTTTGGCCATAAAACCAGAAGGATATTTGGGGACTTCATGCATATTATCTAAGTCCCAGAGACACTGTGGTTGGTGCTCTAGTTAGGTTTATAAGAAAGTTGTCAAAATTTTGGAGCAAACCACCGTGCAAAATCAGGGTTGACGGATTTAACGTTAGATATCAAGTTCTTATTTCTCTCTCTCTTAGAATGAAATCTGTGGGGTGCCTTTAACACTAAAGATGTAACTACACTTAGATTTACCTGTCTTAAAAACAAAACAAAAATTTTAAAACCTAAAACCTGAAAGTTCGATGGGCAGTACCTTGGTATTCTGTGTTTTATTTCAGAATAACATTGCTGTGCAAGTGTATCAAGTTGTGGTTACAGCATACTCAGAAGAGGCGATACAAGCAGGTATGGAGTACTTCATAGCAGATTGCTTTTTGGGCTTACATTCTTGGATCCATTTGTTTTGGGAAGATTCTTGGAAAAGGCCTATGCCTAAGAGGTATTGGTGCTCAGATTTGGAAGAGAGGGTGCTGTAAAAAGCTCAAAGGTTTTTTCCCCTCTAGCAATGTCAGGAAATATGCATAACAGTCATTCTTTCATCTGCTGTGAAAATGCAGATGTTCTCTGAAAGTGATGAACTCTTATCAGCCGTTCATTTTGTTCACACCTTTATTCAAATTAATTTCTTGTATTAGTTAACCAGCCCATGACCCAGTGCGACCTTTAGGAGATTTTAGGAAAGGTGCAGAGCATAAGTGCTGTATTCCAGTGCTAAATAGTGTGAGACACAGATACCCACAGTATGTGAGAGGAGACGAGGGTCAGGTTGATGAATTGGCAAAGCCAGATTAAGAAAGAGATTCAGTTCCATTTAAGAAAGACTTATTGAGCAGCTCCTATGCCTCAGACACTGCGCTAAGCACTGAGGATATGGCTGTGATACAAAGCAGACAAAGCTCCTCTCGCAGGGCTTGTTATTTAGCCTGAGGGTGGCAAATTAGTATGACCTTTCAGGCCAGCTCTAATGATGAGGGGTAGCTGTCTAAAGTGCTGAACTGAGCAGGATTTCGAGGCCATGTTCATGCTCAAGGCAATGTGTTCAACTGATGTCTACGTGGGCATTGCAGTTGGAAGTGCTGCACCTGCCTCTTTTTGGCCATGCCTGGCAGTGAAATGGGGCAAGACACAGACCAAACTCCTTCCAGTTATTTTTGTGCTGCCCTCTCTATCCCCACCTGCATCTGCTGCTAGAGTCTTAACATGTGATTCTAAAGATTTTGGCTGATTTCTCATAGTTTTGGGAGAGAATCCAAAATTTTTAGTGAGGCATACAGACTCCTTTGGGAGCTGGTCCTTGTCTCTTTCTCTGCCCTTTCCAGTTACCACGGTCTCTGTTCCTTCACAATTGTACCCTGACTAATTAAGCTGTCAGTCCTTCGGTGAGTGTATTCTGTCCTCTCCTGCTTCTCACTGTACCTGCACTTCTCTATTCCTTGCTGCCCTTTCAGTTCAGGAGTTACCTCTTCCCACAGCTCCATTCCAGCTGAATCTTTATCAGAGTATTTATCTCATGGTTGTTTACAGGCTTCTCTCCCTGCTAGGCTGTGAGGTTCTTGAGGGTATAGCCTATTTCTTCTCTTTAGCCCAACATAGTGGTCGGCATAGGGTAGGTGCTGACTAATATTTGGATAAATGAATGAATAAATAAGTGAACGTAAAGAACAAACAGCCATTGATTGCTTAGAGTATTCTCTAAGGATGGACTCAGTTCTTGGAGTTTGAATAGTTAGCCCAGGGCATGGCTTGTTTTTGTCAGGCTTGCCTTCCATACCTAGAAAATACTTAGAATGGCTGCACTCTTTGATGTCCCTTTGGATTTTGTGGCTGTTTCTGAAAGAACACTGCCACTTGATTTCTTAAGCTCGTTTAATGCAAACTCAACAAAATGTAAAGAGATCTATTAGAAAAAGGTTTTGAGTGCCAGAGTTGACAGGTGTTTTTATTCAAAGTGGGAAAGAAGCAGAAGGACTCTTTTAGTTCCGTCCTGGCAAAAGAGAGCTTCTTGACACTGGGGCCCAGCATTGGTAGAAGGTCAAGGGTCAGTGCTCTTATCTGTCATACTGTCAGCATGGCCTGCATAGTAGAAGGTCTGGAAAATAGTAAGAGCCCTGCTTAGTTGTTACTTTTTTTTAATCTTTAGTTAACAATCTGAAGTTCATCTCTTCATTTAGATATCCAAGGAACACATCAGTTCTTTCTATTTCAGGAACAGATAAAAATATAGCTTTTTTATTTTTATTTTTTTAAATTTATTTTTACAAATATTAATTATGGGTTTCTTTATTTTTAAAAAGTAATATGTAAAGAATGGCATAATATTTGCTAATTGTTAAGCTGGGCGATAAGTTCATGAGGATTCATTATACTGTGGCTTCTACTTTTGTTTACATTTGAAAATGCCCATAATAAAAATAAAAAGAAAATAGTATATAGACATTATTGAAAATTTTGGAAGTGTAGAAAGACATAAAGAAAAACTAAAAACACCCATCATCTTGCCTCTTAAGATGACATTTGGTGAGTAAACCTGGTATCTTTTTTCCTCTGTGTGGGTAGGAGTGTGTGTACCCATGTATTCACCCACACGTTTGCATACTGTTCAGTTATCTATTGCTGTATAAAAAAATCACCCCACACTCAGCTCAGGACAACTATTTTACTATGCTTAAGGGTTCTGTGGGTCAAAAATTGAGATAAGATATAGCAAAGATGACTAGTTTCTATTCCATGATTATTGGGGCCTCAGCTGGGAAGATTCTAATGGCAGGGAGTTAGAATCATCTAGAAGTTTCTTTACTCACATGTCTGGTTCCTGGGCTGGAATGACTTGAAGACTGGCCTCACCTGAGACTATTAACTAGAGTGCCTACATGTGGCCTCTTCAAGAGGCTTGAACTCCCTCACAGCGTGGTAGCCTCCTGTGTTGCAGCCCAGGACTCCAAAAGTGAGTATTCCAGTAAACAAGACAGAAGCTGTATGGCCCTTTATGGCCTAGCCTTGGAAGTCACATAGTGTCACTTTCACCATTCTCTGTTGGTCAAAGCATTCATTGTCCCACCCAGATTCAAAAGGAGAGAACATACACCACTTCTTAGTGAAGGAGAATCAAAGAATTTGTAGTCCTGTTTTAAAAATCGCCACACATGCATACATGTTTTTTCTCCACAAGGTTTTAGATTATGGAGGCATATATATTCTTATGTCAGTTGCCTGTCTTCCTGCTAATATATCAGTGAAATAGTAGTAGACTTTTATAATTACATAAAAATTTAAAGAATCTATTACAAACATTTTAAACAGAATCAAAAGATATTATTACAGGGTGAGAACAATATTGATAACAGACATGACAAAGGACTAATAAATTTCTTAAGGTTCGAAAAGCCCACATATATATCTTTGAGTTAAATGCTGACATACTAAAACAAGCAATGGGTATAAACACTTAGGACATAGGAAAAAAAAAATTAGATAAATATAAATATACATACACACATAAATATATGAAAAGATGCTTAACCCGCTTTTAATTAAAGTGAAAAATTTTTACCTATAGTTCAGTTTTCACCTATGATGATGACAAAGATTAAAAATAATGCTTTGATCTCATTCTCAATTTTGCGTAGAAAGCAAACCTTCCTCAAGAGTGTGACCCTGAAAGGTCATTTTCTTTTTTAATGTAAAGTATAAATGAAGGTCATTCATCGTTTCACTTTAGCTGTTGCAGGCCAGAGCTGACAGTCACTTCCAGCGGAGAGCCCTGCCTGCGGCCTTCTGGGCATGGAGAAGACTCTGGCGATGGCGCCAGCAAGAAAGTATTTTTAATGCAAGAGCAGCACGCTTTCACAGGTACGCTCTATGGCGCCTGTCTGCATTGGGGCAGGCTACTTGGGTCCGTTTCTGCCACCTTTGTAACCATTTGCTTTTTCGCTTTTCAGCCTCCCAGCCCCCCAGGCCAAGGTCCCTCCTGGTTTTTCAATAATGTGGGCTCATTGATTTAATTTAGCAGGAAGACAGCCAGTATTTTCCCCTGGGAAAATTTTTGTCCATCTTTATTGCACATGCTTTCAAAACAGCCTAGGTTTTATGCCCCTTTCCTCATTACAAGCCACAGGGAGCTCCATTAAAGCTGCCCATTAGCTTTCTGGATCAGAGTGTGGGTGGACCTTGTATTGCTTTGGCAAGCATTCTTGAGTATGATTTCCCTGAAATGCTTGGTCTTGTTCTGCTAGACATAGCTTTTTGAAGTCTTGAAATTATAGTCATCAACAGGATTAAGAAAGGCAAGGAGCAAAGCTATATCATTTTAGCTCCCGCAGGGGCAAATTTCCCCATAGCAGGTCCATACTACATGTTGGTGGAATGTAATAAAGAAATTATTAATCACTGTAGAGTTCCGGTCAAGGTGGCAGAGAATATGACATAAAAATTACTGTGCCAAATTATAACAAATTAATGGCTTTTAAAGGAGAAAACCTGCTAGAATTAAGGGCAGGAATGGAATAATAATCGTGTCATTAGGTGAACATTAGTATAAGTGTAACATAAGATTTTAATCATTTGAAGTTATCCAACTTTGCAAAACTATAAATAAAACAACTCTAATAAAAAAAATTATTAATCGCTGTGTGTCTGCCACTGTGGTGGGCATGGAATGATGGGAGAAAGGAAACAAATAGGCTCGTTTACCTATGGTATCATCATCTTCATTAATAATTTCCTTCTCACAGCGTTCCTGAGAGAACAGGTTCAAAGTGATAAATGTAACACAATCAGTAATGAGCAGAGCCAGGGTTTAAATTCAGATCTCCCTGATTCCAGAGTCCCTGGAGGAAGATCTTTTTAATGACTTTGTAGGAACTTTACATCTTTGTGAGGAGATAAGACTGTTACACAATTGAAACAATTGAAGAACAGTTCAAGGGAATAGATCCTTTTGTCCTCAGTTATGTCAGCTACAAATTCTTCTAGAGCTCAGAGCTGTTGCCTAGGGTAGAACCTGGAGGAGACTTGGCTGTGAGCTGAGGGGGTGAGGATAGATGGTGGGAGTGTGTAGGATGAGGAGAGCCAGGCTGAGAAGACGTCTGATCTATAGATAGATAATGGATGTTTGAGCAGGTACATGCATCTAGTAAAGTGACAGTGTTGAAGAATGACCTGAGTATGGGATATATCCATTTAGGACAGAGAAACAAGAAGAGAGGGACATGCGTTGGGAGAAGTTGCAGTGATCTTGACTTTGGAGGACTCTAAATGCTTGTCTAAGGAGATTAGCCGGAACTTAGGGGCTCCTTAGCACAAAGTCCAAAGACATGTTTTTAGTTGCCAGTCACAGGGAATAGTGGCTGACGGGATAGCATTTACCTCTCTGCCTTTTCTCCTACAGAGAGTGGCTTTGCTTTTACCTAGTTTCTGTATTGAGGTCTGGTATAAGATTCATTCAAAAAATGGCTTCATTACTTAAAACATACACCCTTTGTTTCCTTTACAAATAAAGTCATGATTGATTCTATTGCTTTTTTGTATTTTGGCATGCCGCAGGGACCAAAAATTGAGGGTACCTTAGAAATAGCCAAGAGGAGCTTCTTAAAGGATTATTTGGCGGAGTGGGCTTGGGTGAATTTACAACTATACGCTTGAGACAAAGCTTAGAGGGCGAATTAGAGACAGGGAGTAGCCAGGAGACTTGAAGGATTGCAAAAGCCTGGTTTAGATTTTATCTTGTTTGGTTTAGTTGGCTCTTTGTAGAAAACTTAGTTTTTCAGGTTTCTGCCCTCCCGGTTCATGAGGGAGCATAGTACCTAAGAGCCTGCCTTGGAAGCTGGACAGGCCCAAGTTCAGACCCTTAGTCTGCCACTTGCCAGCTCTGTGACCCTGAGCAAGCCACTCAGTCTTTCTTAGCCTCAGTTTCCTCAAATGTAAAATGGAGATGAATTGATAATAATCCTTATCTCATAGAGTTGTCATGAAACTAAGTGGGATAATCTGTATAAAATACAGAGTGCCCAGCACAAAATATTAATTGTCCCCTGAACCCCCTTAGAATTGAATTGTAACTCATGGTAAATTAGTTTTCACAGGTTTGGTTTGGAGTTTAGCGTATCAGAGTTCCAAATAAATATGTATATTCTCTCTTTCCATAATTCTTAGGGTTTTTTTAATGTTTTAGGAATATGAACAGAATTTATGGTAGGATCTCATGAATTATGGATAAAAATGATAGTGTATTAACCTTCCAGGGAAAGTTTTTTTAACCGAACTAAATTTATGTACTGTTAAAGGCAGAGATGTTAAGTAAACGGTTTGATGAGTTACATACCTGGATAACCAAACCCCAGTCAAGATATAGAACATGTCCATCAGCCCAGAAAGTTCTTCATGTCCCCTTCCCATGGAGTTCTTGCTTTCAGTTATTTTGAGTATATACCTAGGAGTAGAATTACTGGATCATATGGTAATTCTATGTTTAACTTTTTGAGGAATCACCAAACTATTTGGTCCTTTTTATAGTTTTTATTTTTCACTGAAATTCCCTGTCTGGTAATTAATTTTGTTCATCTTGTCATTTAAGAACTCAAAGTCATTTATTAGAGCTGTTTTTAAGTTTTTGTTGATTCCAACATTTAGGTCATTATTTCTGTTGACAGCTTTTTTCCTTTAAAAGGTGTTGCATTTTGTTCTGGCAAGTGGTGGGTTTTGTTCTGGTGGTTCTTGTTGACTCTGTCAAGTCTGGTTTTATTCTTTCTTCGTGTGGGTCTTTTTTGATTTTGCCTTCATTGTTAGGGCATGTCTCTTTTTCCTAAGGCTTAACCTTTCTGAGTTCTGAGGTTCTCAGTAAGCTCCACTCTAAATGGGCTGGAACTCCATCTTCCAGTCCTATCCAACCTCTCTGGTGTCTCCATTTAGCTCTTAGCCCTCCAGCTGCCACTAGGTGCTAGTCCTTGTGGAGTTTACCTGTGTATCCTCAACTGAAGATCTGGGACGGCCTCAGATAGAATTCTGAGTGTTTCTTCTGTGGACTGTGCAAGGTGTCCGTGCGTGTGCCTGTATGTTAGAAGGCCTCCCTTGGCCACAGGCACTCAGGCATTGTGGCAGCCTTGAGGGAGACAGGTGGTTGGGGTTAGGTGTCCACCTGCCCAGGCTTAGGAAGGCCACACAGGTCCACACAGTTTTTCTCCTGTGGTCTGGAACACTAGTCTTCTGCCTCAGCTGAGTTAGGCTAGTGAGGCTGTTATGCTCTGCTTAGTCTTCCTCTCCTTTCCCTCACTGTCCATAAAGTGCCCCAGGCAGAAAGCCCGGGCAGCTAAGGGGCTCACCTTATATGTTTCCAATCTCTCAAGAATCAGTCCGAATTGCCTGTTGTCCAGGATCTGATAACAGTTGCCTCATGTATTTTGCCCCATGGCTTTGCCAGTGCACAGCCCCTGGTGACTGTTGACCAGTTATCCCAATCTCGTTTTTGCAGGTTTTGACATCATTATGGTGAGCAGAAAGGTTGAGACAGAGGTGACAAAGCAGTGGTTCCCAAACCTGTCTCCCTGTCTACCTCACTTGGAACTCTTGTTTTACACACCATTTCTAGGGTAGCCTCAGACCTTCTCAGTCAGCCTTGTGGGTCTGGCATCTGTTTGTAACCACTCCCCGCAAGGATTTGTGTCCTGGCTGATCGGCATGGGCTAGGACAGCTTTCACTAATGATTTCTGGGCATCGTTGGTAATTCAGGTGGAATTGATAAAGAACCAGGGTCTCAAAGTCTGAGACTTTTGTATACTGTCTGAGTGCTTGGCTGACACCAGAAATAACTTGGAAAAGTATTGGGTTGTTTGTGGGTCTTTTGGCTATTGTTTTCTGCTTTCCTTCCCCTCCCCTTTCCTTTTCCCTCATCCAACCTCATTTGTCTCTTAATAGCACAGCGTGGGAAGAAAATCGAATTATTTGGAACTTTTCAATCTTTTGTAGTTGTTTTGTTTCATTTTAAGTGCTTTACTATTATTTTTTTATAGGGAGACATTAGAGAAGCAAGTATTTGCTATTTGGTGGCAGAAGATGTTTCGGCTTCGAGAAAACCGCTTGGCGGAAAGAATGGTAAGTGGTTTTCCCTGAGGAGGTGCCCACGATGGGCAAGACCTGTTTCAAGCCTTTGCGATCACTGTGTCCTCTCCTCAGGACATCGCCTGGAATCCAAACCCATACCAAAGCACGTCCTGCCTGTGTCCAGGATTCACAAGGCAGGGCCAGGGTCTGGGGCATCTGTTTGCTTTGTATAGGTGGCTTCTGGGCCAGGGCAGCTAGCTCCTGAATGTCCATTTCTTTTGCCTTGGTCATTATTTATGGCATGTTGGTTCTTTCTGGCTTCTGTACCCACTCCTTCTTGACCCATTCTGTTCTGTTCCTGCCATCCTGCCACAGGCTATCCTTCATGCAGAGCGGAAGCTTCTGCAAAGGTCCTGGTCTACGTGGGAGCAGCAGGCTGCAGCACATCGTCAGGAGCGGCAATGGCAAGCAGTGGCCTGTGCCCACCACCGCCACAGGCGGCTCATGAAGGCTTTCTGTATCTGGAGGGATAGTGCCCGAGGGCTCAGATCAGAGTGAGTGGCCGCTTTTGCCTCAGGAGCTTTTCCCATCTCAGACCAGTTTTGACATAGTAGCAGCACTGTCAGCTCTTGAGTGCCCATCCAGAGGGTCATGTTAGCCTAGACTCAGACTTTAAGTTCCAGAAATCCAATTGGAAACCATCTAAGTAAAACCAGGGCTATAAGGAGAGAATCCTGGGGTACCACCTGGAACTCCCATCCTCAGGAACTTGACTGGAGACAGACGTGCCCCTTAAAGTGACCATGGCCAAGGAATGGACTAATTGGCCCATTTGAGGATAGTTGACCTCCCTTCCCCAGGAGCAGCAGCTGCGCCCAGGGGCAGGCCGTAGCAGTTATTACCACACCACATGGTCAGGAGGGCAGGACAGACAGCCCACGTGTCCACTGCAGACATTGTCCTGCTTTGGCGCCTTTCTGCATCTACTTTGTACTCTGAGAGGCTCCCTACTTCTCGGACTCTGGCTACATTTAACCTCTTCCTCAGTCACCTGCACATGAGTACGTGTCCGTGGTACTTGAAGCCCTGTGAGGTTGTCCATAAAAATTTGATTATATGAGCACTTTTCTGCGGGGAGAACTCATCCTTTGGCAGCTCTTCCAAAAACTCTTCCGAGGGTCTTAACTTGCCCCCAAATTTAAGAACCACTAGATAGGAGCCAGGGACTGTGAAGGGACGCCCATCAAGAGGGTCTTAGCTGGGTCTGGGCTGCAGCACTGAGCTCTGACTCTCTCCCCACAGAAAGGTGGGCATGGTGCTGGCTGCAGAGTTCCACTCAGCACGGCTCCTGCGTTGGGCCTGGAACAGGTGGAGGGAGGTAAGTCTTTGGCACAGGTGCCACCTATGTGTGGCTTGTAGACAGGTGGAGCCATGTGTCAGCATGACTCAAAGCAGACATATGGCCTCCTCCCCAGTCCCTCAGAAACCACCTGCCTCTGAGTGGAGGGAAGAGGCCAGGCAGCAGATGATGAGTTTTAACCTGGTTTTGTGAGATAATTGGCTCAAAACTTCTTTTAGGTGCTAGGCTTTTCTTACTTGAACTTACTGAATCTAAAATTCCTGGCCTAACCATTTATAGGCATCTTACTCTGGGTAAAAAATGTTTATGCTGACTTGCTGGAGCATTTACCCTAAGTCAGGCACTTGCCTCATTCCCACAAAACCCCCAAAGATACCTATTTATAAATGAGAAAGCTGGGGCTCCCAGGTTTCGTACCTTACCCGAGCTCACCCAAACTGCATGTAAGTGGAGACAAAGCTGAGCCCGCCCCACTCGGCCTTCGGTGGCCACCTCTCTTCTTTGTCTACAGTTCCTGGCCCTGCGGGGTGCTGAGCAACAGAAGCTGATGCGAGCAGACCTGCATCGCCAGCACATCTTGCTGCACAGGGCGCTGCAGACCTGGGGGGTAGGAGCTGCTGCTTTCCTACAAATCTTGCCTTTGCCGGGTGGGGGAGGGGCAGGGTTCTGGAGACTTTGTTTCTCTTCCTTGTTCTTCGCTCCTTGTTCTTCGAGCCCTGCCCTTCTCAGAACAGAGTACTTTCACCAGCTGCAAACAGAACAAGTACCCTGGACACTGGGTCTTATAACCACAGGGTTAAATTCTTCCATCCCTCCTCAGTAGAGCACAAACAAGAAAATGAAATATAAGTGCTATCTGGGGTCACCAGCCTTACCATCAAAATGGCCCCTTGTCCAGGCGTCCAGTGGTTTGACTTATTAGGTAAGGACTTAGCAAGACAGTCCTCTCCCTGTTGTTTGAGTGGTCTCCTGGTCTTAGACCTTGGGCCTTTTAACCTCCCTCAACTCTCTTGTGAGCTCTGGGCATTATAGTCCCTGTTGAGAATGTACTTTTGAGGCCTGTCTGGGAATAGGGAGCGCTGTGGGTCCAGGGGCAGCCTCCAGCCTTCCTGGTCTCCTGCAGACCTACCAGAGCCAGGTACGGAGTGTCCTACAAGAGGTGGCAGCCAGGGAGAGCCAGCACAAGAGGCAGCTGCTACGGTGAGTCTCCCAGCGTCTCCCAGGCCCAGCCTGAGGATCGGGGAACAGATTCTAGACCAAGGCAGGTAGGGAGTTTTATCCAGGGCCAGGCAGAGGACAGGCCTGGCTGGCTACCTTGTGCTGTTCATAGCATAGCTTTGGCTTTTTCACAGTGAGCACTTCATTCACTGGTTCACCTCTTATGTCTTGAATCCAAGCTGTGTGCAGAGCAAAGACCTCTGGGAAGCAGCTCTCACCTGGATTTCTGTGAGATCTCCTGCTTATCTTGGTTCTCTGAGTACTTTTCCCTCCCCATTTCAGACCGGGAAGATTCAGCTTCTCGAGGGGCCATTTCAGCACCTCTCCTGCTCTAGAAGCTGCCTCTCAGTTCCCAGTCAGTTGCTAACCCCCTTGGCTCTCTGGGCCTTTCACTGACTCTCCAGAGTCATCTCTTCACCCTCAGGACCGTCTGCATCTGCGCCACCCTTGGAGGTCACTCTCACTGCCTTGGCTCCAGCTCCCTAATGAGCCCATCCTCCAGCACCTGCTAAGCCAAGCTCTAAACTCATTCCTCCCTGGCGGGCCTCCCTCATTCCTCTCTGTCTTTTCCTTCTTCTGATTTGTTCAGCACACACTATTCTAGTGGATGGTGCCCTTTGTGGACTTTAAATAGCGCCGTCCCTCCTTCAGAGTCCCATAAAGTGCCTACCCAGCTCCTCGGAGTAGCATAGAAAGAGGGAGTCCCTGAACTAACTCAGCACCCAGGCAAGGCTCTGAGGTTCCAGTACCCTTCCTCCAGCTTCCCTGTTTTTCTGTGCCTCCCTAATCATGGCACGAGTCACCTGTATTATCATAGCCTGGTTACAGCTGTGTTCTCCGTTGCACATAAATGGGTGAGGATGTAGTGTTTGGTCTTGTTCACCATGGTGTCCCCAGTGCCTGGCACAGGCAGGTACTCAGCAACTGTTTTTCGCACATCTTTGTCAACATAATCATGGCTGTCAGTGAAACACGTTCGCAGGCATAAGGCATTCTTGATTCAGGAGTGGGCTGAGTAACCAGGAATGAGTCACAGAAACACCCACTGTCTCTTCATACTGGTGTCACCCCCATCTCTGGCCTGTGTACTTACAGGGATGTATTACATCGCTGGAGAGAGAACACCGTGGCCCGTGTGGACGAAGCAAAGAAAACCTCTCGAGCAAGGGCTCACTACACAAGGACTTTGTGTTTCAAGGTGAGGCATGGGGAGGCCATCTGGTCACCCAGGAGGGTTTGGGACCAGATTCCTACGAGGCAGTGGTGTGGGAGGTGGTGCCAGAGATTTGAACTGAACAAGGAACCCGGAAAATGGGATAACTCTCCTCTGCTGTGTGAGCAGTTGGGTTTTACTTATTTTATTGAATTATTATTCATTATTTATTAAAACAAAAACATGGTACATGGTGAACTGTTTTGTATCAGAACCAGTATTTTCTATATATGTGGAATTTTCCGCTGGGACGGACCGTGTATATCGCCACACCTCTGTCTCCTCATCTGTCATAAGAGAATGCTTGTTCCTGCTCATCGGCTTTCAAGTTTCGTGGCTGTGGGACTTTTTAGAAAACATAGAGCATCCCAGGAATGTGAGGCCATTGGTCATCGTTGGTTGGAAGTGGCCCCAAAATACCATGTGGTGGAATCTGGTCCTAAGTGCTAGGGGAGAGAGGGAGTGGCAGGATGTAGCTGCGGGAAGAAGACATATTACAGGATAGAGGGGACACCTACAAATGAAATGACAGGTGGTCCCTGGACTCAGGGATGTTTTAGAAGAAAGCCATTTGCTGGGATCCTGTTGGAAGGCCGGGATGGTCCAGACAACTTCAGAGTGTCCCGCAGATGAGGAACAATTGCATACGGTCAAGGCCCGGTCTGTTCAGGCTGGTGTACGACCCCCGCCCTGGAAGAGGGGTCAGGACTCTTTGCTTGGCTTCATGGCTCAGAAAGGAGGAGGCCTTTTAGGGAGGAGTGGAGTTTGTGACTGTGTGGGGAGCAGGCACCAGGCATTCCCCTGGCTGCTGCACTTCCTTTTTAAAGGGCTCTGTTGGTGTGATTTCATTAAGTCTCACGTACGAAAGAGTGCATGTAATGTTTGGCTTCTGTGTAACAAATAATATTAGAACGAGTCTACGGCCATGCTACCCTGAACAAGCCTGATCCCATCTGATCCCGGAAGCTAAGCAGGGTCGGGCCTAGTTAGTACTTGGATGGGAGACCACCTAGGAAGACCAGGTGCTGTAGGCATAAAAAATAAGGGATTGTAAGCTGACAAGGTCCTTGCAGTCTGTGAGGTCAACCAAGGGTTGCCTCGCCTTATACATACGTATGTACGTACATACATACATGCATACATACATATATACATACATATATACATATGAAAGTCCATTTACTTCTTTATGGTATGAAGTTGAACTTCTGGTAGAAAAGTCCCATTACGCGAGATACTGGGCTTCCTCTGAGGGGACTGGAGGCTGTGTCCTGTTGCCTGTGGTCTGTGGTCTGTGGTCTGTGGTCTGTATGGGGAATGGGCGCTTCTGGAATGTGTTGGGTGCTGTGAGTCCACCGCTTGGCCTCATTTTATGAAGAGCTGCCAGTAGAGCTGGGGTGCCCCCAGAAGTCAGACTATGCTGTGATCACCTCTCTTTTTGTCTGCCACTTAGGTCCTGGTCCAGTGGCAGGAGGCTGTGGCGGTGCAGATATACTACCGACAACAGGAGGCCTGTGCCATCAGGGAGGCCCAGAAGGTGCTGGACCGGGGTAAGCGGGGTCCCGGAAGCTGAGCATTGCGAAGGACCTGGATCTGCAGTGGTGTGCTATGTATTTACCCCAAGTCTTTGTCTCCTTCTTATGTATATTAGTTTCCTGTTGCCGAGGTAACAAAGCACCACAGACTGGGAGGCTTAAAACAACAGAAAATTGTTCTATCAGAGTTCTGGAGCCCAAGTCCAAAATCAAGGTGTTGACAGGGCTATGCTCCCTCCAAAGGCTTAGGAAGAACCCTTTCTTGCCTCTTCCAGCTTCTGGTGGCTCCCAGCAATCCTTGGCATTCCTTGACTCGTAGGCACCACTCCAGCCTCGGCCTTTGTTTTCACAGTCACATGGCTGTCTTCCCTGTGTGTTTGTGTCTCTTTATATAAGTACACGTCCAGTCATACTGTATTAAGAGTCCACCCTACTCCAATACAATGTCAGTTAATTGTACTGCACTAATCTTTTTTCCAAATAACATCAATTCTGAGGTTCTGGGTGGTCATGAATTGGAAGGACATAACTGTTCAATCTAGTACATCATAGTATTCTCTTCCCAAATGATTGCCAATCAGTTTATGTTAAAATAAAAGGCCAAGGCTTGAGATCTGCAGGCAAATAAGGAAATGAAGGTGAAATGAAGGAATTCAAAGTGGTTAAGGTGGGGTGGTTTTGATGGCTTCAGTGGCTGATGCTTGTCAGGTCAGCCCCATCGTGAGGGGTCCTGCTTCCTTGCATCCTTGGGCCCTTGTAAGTTTAGAGAGCAGGGACCTGCTCTGTTGGCTTCAGGTAGTCCATCTGCTGAGACGACAGCCTGGAGAAGACAGTCTGGATGGGAGCCGCTGCTCACAAGACAGTGGAAACAGACCCACGGCCTCACAGTGTGGGGATCCAACACTATGAGGAGACAACCCATGGTTAGAATAAGTGAAAATACAAATGGAAATGGTTTAAGTCAGACCATGGAGAAAACAAATCAAGTTATGTTGGCTTGATGGAGTTTGCGTCAATTCATCAGCTTTGGTTTAGTTGCCTCCTGTTGTCGGTAGTATATCTGCACCGCCACAGCCTCCTGCCACTGGACCAGGACCTAAGTGGCAGACAAAAAGAGAGGTGATCACAGCATAGTCTGACTTCTGGGGGCACCCCAGCTCTACTGGCAGCTCTTCAGGACAAATTCATCAGCTTTGGTTTAGTTGGCTATAGTGTGTGTGTCGATGAACACAGACTCCACTTTCCTCTAGACAGAACCCTGGGGTTAGACATCCTGCTCCTGCTCCACCTGTGACATGCTTCTCTGTGTCCTCAAGTTGCCCCTAACCCTAGAAATGAGTGCTCTGTTTCTAGTTCACTCCCAAGAAAGAAACCGAGGGGCTCAGCCTATCCCTTGGTCTCTGGACAGAGCTATGGCACCCAGTGCAGCCCAGGCCTCGCCAGTTTGGGTCAGGTGCCAGCTTCCAGCCCAGGCAGCCACATGGGGAGTTAAGGTGATAGGCACAGGTGCTGCCCAAAGCTGACTGTCTCTACAGCACTGTGGGGCAGGCAGTGTGTGGCAGTCCCTGGGATTGTACACAATGGATGATACAAGGGACTTGGAAGACCATGTGACAAGACACTGTTCTCAGTACATAGTAGATGTGCATTTAATACCTAGGACCATTTCTTGGCTTAATTAAGGCCTCCGAGTTACAGGCTCACCTTGGCAGCCCAAGCATGGGGCCAGGTGCTGGAGGACAGACTAGGGGCAGGGTGTCATAAGTCTTGTTAAACAGGGTGCTTAAGAAGTATTGGTGGGGTCATATGCTAGCTGCACGACCTGGGGCAAGTCCTTTGCACCTCAGTTTCTCCATCTGTAAAGTAGGGATAATGGTGCCTGCCTCTTGGGGTTGTCATGAGGATCCAATGAGACTAATGTATATGCGCTTAAAGCATGGCCCAAGAAGTGCCAGCACTTAGTACTAACACTTGGCCTCCAGGCTTGTGAATACCACCTTCCCTGCCCGTCTGGCAGTGCTGGAAGGCACCCCATATTGGCATCAGTGCCCTGGTATCAACCCTCTTCTGTTGTCTCTGAAAGAAACTGCTTTCAGGGCCTAAGAAAAGAAAAAATCCAAAGTAAAATCAGCAGAAGAAAGTGTTTGCTTCCTCAGGAGACAATCTGGGGACACAGAAACAAAATGCAGGATGTGGTTCCTGCCTGTGGAGCCCGGGCGCCAGAGGAAATGGCTCAGCAGACGCCGCGCCTCCTCCAAGGCCTGGCTGGGGCTGTGTGTACTTCTCTGAGCCTCATTTTCCTCTCTGGCAAAATGGAGCTGCCACCTCCCACTCTGTCAGACCAGAGGTCTTCTAGGTCACCCAGCAGCATCTTGCAAGTGGGCCTTTGTGGGGTCGCAACAGCAAACAGCAGACCTGGTTCTGGTCCCTAGGGTCTCATAGTTGCTCAAGGTGACCAGAGCTGTCCTTAGTTGAAGAGTAGCCACCGTCCACATGTAGTGGTTTCACCACGTGTGGACTGACACCCCCGCTCTCCCCACACAGCCCTCTCCGTTCTCCTCTCTATACGTTGACCATGGCATAGTCGTTTGTATAAATCCTGTAAAAGAGCAAACTGACTTGAATCTGTCTTAGGCCGTCTCAGGACCTGGTTTCAGTGCTGGCGGGACCTCTGCCGGAGGGCAGCCCAGCAGAGAGCCCAGCTGGAGAGGGCGGCACAGCATTACCGCCGGCAGCTGCAGCTGCAGGGCCTGGCCAGGTGGAAGGTGCACCATCTGGGCTGCCTCAGGAAGAGGGTGAGGCAGGCAGCAACTCCCCTGTGTGGTGGAACTGTTCAGGCCAGGAAACCACCTCCCAGGAAGGAAGAGGTCCTTCCTGCAGAACGCAGAGCAGCCAGTATGGGTGCTGGGCGGCCTGGGGTCCTGCGGGCACAAGCCTGCAAGAGCCCTTCTGGGATGGCTGGGGGAAAGCCAGCTTTGGATCGGGCCTCCCTGGGTAGAAAATGGCTCAGCAGAGAAACTGGGTTTACTCTGAACCATGGCTTGTCAGAGCTAGGGGATCTGTGGAGTCACCTAGAAGCCCCTGCCTGGTCCCGGAGGCCCTTAGCTTGACCCAGGACCTTTCACTTGGGCCCGCAGTCTCACCCTGTGGCCGCTCCCTGATGGCCTGGGCATGGGGCACCTGATGTGCCTCCTCACAGCTCCCCATACGCCTGTTCTCCCCTCAGATCCTGCAGAGACAGGGTGCCCAACTCCTGGCCCAGACACTCAGCCGGACCTGCTTCCACCAGTGGAGACAACAGGTGGGAGCTGTTGAGCCCCTTTCCCTCCCCTGCCCACCACGCCCCCAGTGACTTCTCTGCATCGCCAGCTTTCTTCCACCTGTGACCTGTATTAGGCCAAGTCATTTCAGGGCCCTGTTTTTAGAGTGTCATATTAAAAGAATACGTCAGGGTAATATCCAAAAATTAAAATACCAGGCAGGATTGCATCCTGCTCAGCAAACCTTTACGCGTCCCTCTCACTGGATTGTGTAGCTTTTCTCCTGTGAGCAGGGCACCCTACCCTTACTGATTTCCTCCCCCAGTACTCTTTGCCTTTCTTCTTTCCGGAGGATCATTTGTCACCCACCCCCTCAGGGCTTGGCAGGGAGGGGTCTGAGAGTGACCAGGGCCCCCTTTAGGTGATTTTTCTGTAATCTCTGACTTCTGTCCTGCAGCTGGTGAACAGGAAGCAGGAACAGCAGGGCACGGCCCGGGCCCTGTGGTTCTGGGCCTTCTCCCTACAAGCAAAGGTAATGGGGTCTCTTCATCCTTCTGCCCCTGCTCCTCCCAGGAAAGGACCATGCCTCAGTGGAGGGCAGGGTGGGCACAGCCCCTGGGGGAGCCTAAACAGGGAGAGCTGGGCCTCACCTCCTCCTCTCCCTGGAGGTGTGGGCCTCGTGGCTGGGCTTTGTGCTGGAAAGGAGGAGAAAGAAGGCGCGGCTGGAGCGGGCGGTGCAGGCCTACCACCAGGAGCTCCTCCAGGATGGCGTCACGCGCCTCCTGCGGTTTGCAGCTGGCACAAAGGCCTTCCGGCAGCAGATGCATGCCCAGCAGCAAGTGCAGGTAGGCCTGGGAGCCCCACCTTCTCATGGGGAGTGGGCAGGACATGGCATGATCTGACAGTGGGTGTTGCAGGCAGCTCACAGTCTCCACCGTGCAGTCCGTCGCTGTGCCATGCTCTGGAAGCAGAAGGTGCTGGGGGCAGGCAAGGAGCCTCAGCCCCCTACATCCACCGTCCTTAGCAGGAGAGTGACGTTTGAGGTTCCCCTTCCCGACCATGTCATTGCTGCAGCTGGGGATGCCACCCTGGAGACCAAGAGACTACGAGCTCCTTGGCCTCACGGGGCTCTCGGCAGCCTGGCCCTGGATGCCGGGGACCCCCAACTCCTGGAGCTGTGAGTAGCCCATCTCTTACTTCCACTCAGGACAAAAGCTTGGATTAAATAGGAGGGAGGACCCTGAGAGTCACTGCTGAGATGCTGGGCTCTGTCCCTCCCAGGTGCTGGGAGAGAATGTACTTAGCAAGAGGAATAGCTGTAGGGCAGCCCTCCTGCCCCCAGGCCTGCCAGTGTCCCACTTCTCCCCTTAAAGCCAGGAAATGGGCTCCCTCTTGGAAACCTCACTTTTTGTGCCCTAGCCCCATCCCCACACACCATGCTGATGTAGCTGTTGGCTTTCAGGGTGACCAGTGCTTCCTGAGCCAGGAAGAAAGGTTGCCGGCGGGGAGAGGCAGCATCCTGGGCCTTGGCCCTGCTCCACTTGCCTTACCCCCAACTCCTGACCCTGATAAGCCTGCTCCCTCATGACATGGGACCAGCACCTGCATTGCCTGGGTTACTGTAGAGGTTAAATGAGAGGACATGGGTGAGGCACCTGTGGCATCAAGCTCGCTTCCTTGGAATTGCTCGAAGTTCCATGTGGCCCAGGCCCACCCTAACTCACCTGCTGACCTTGGGCAAGAACCTCTCCTTTGGCCTTTAGTTTCCCTATAGGATTGGAGGGGCTGGACTAGGTGACCCCGCTACCCCACAGATGTCTCAGGCCCCTGGCAGCCCCTGAGCAGCCTGGAGGAACAAGCCCACATTTCTTCCCAGCAATGCTGTGCGCTTAGCAAGGAAGCAGCCGCGACGCCCAGACTTCCTGCTGGAGCCCTTACAGAGCCAGAGGCCCTTGCGGTATGGCACCCTGCGGGGCAGGAGTAGGTCATGTGATCCTGGGCTAACTCCTATCCAGGGCCTGTGACTTGGGGTCTGAGGGTGGGTGGCCCCCTTTCCTTCCTGCTCAGGATACTGCAGCTTGACCAGCTTCTGCCTTCCCTCTGCTCAGGCCTGAGGTGCTGAGGGAGCAAGACCTTGGCATGGCTCAGCCAGCAGGCCCTTCCCTGACAAGGCCCTTCCTGGCAAAGGCCCAGAAAACACTGATCCCAAGCAGCCCTCTGCCCCAGCCTGGTGCTCTGCCCAGTCGCCCTGGCCTGAAGTTACCCCCCACAGCAAGTACAGGCCTGGAGCTGCTGCCGCCTTCCTCCTTCATGTTGCGTGGGGTGGATGCACCCACCAGAGTAAGTCCTCCCTGGTCACCTGGGGTCCCATTTTCTCATCTGGACTTTGGTGCTGTAGCCAAAGGTATACTTATTGCCTCTGGGATACTCCTGGCTCTGGAAGATGCAGGGAGGCCACTCATTCATTCACCAAGTGTAGGTGCCAGTGTCCTAGGGACACAGTAGTGAACGCCTGCGAGACTTCTTGCTCATGAGGTTATATATATCTTTGTGAGGATCCCCACTCAGATAGAGGCTGCAGATGATGCAGGGCCATGCAGGCCCTGGTCAGTTTGGATTTTAATGAGTAGGAAGTAGGGGAAGATGGTGGCTGCTGTGATCTGATGACACTGCAGAAGGTGCTAGTGGCCGCAGACTTGGCAGGACTGACTTTGAGGGGTTTGGTAAAGGTGAAAGAAGGAATCTGGTTTGGCTCCCGGGTGTCTGGCTTGGATAACTCAGGGAATGAGTTCTACTGAAAGAGGGAAAATGGGGTGAGGCCCCTCTTGGGGAGAAGCATGAAGAGTGTTTTTGAACCTGTCAAATTTTGAGATAAAGCAACAGGATTGAAGCTGGCCTTCAGGGAAGGAGTCGGGACTAGAGATCAAAACTGAGAATCGTAGTATAGATTGATGGTAAAGCCCCAGAAGCCAATATAGGTCACCTGGGAGGAGTGGGTGACATTGAAGTTGAGGACTCGGCATGGAGGAGAGAGCACGAGCTCTCAGTGATGGAGGCGACAGCAGCGGTATTGGGCCACCCCAAGGAGCTGGTGCCTGAAGAGAGCTGTGGGAAGGGTGAGAGGGTGAGGGGTCATAGGAGAAAGGACACTGTCGTCACCAGGAGGGAATGGAGGAGGGTTGTAGGTGGGTGATTGGATAAGAACAGTTGCCTCTACTTTTCTCACTGAAAGGCAAGGTCACAGCTCAGTTGAGGCATGAGTGAAAGGTCAGTAAGGCTTGAAGCTGATGCTTGGGGCAGTGCTGAGGCAGGCTCTAAGGAAGGGGTAAGACAGGACTGCAAAGGCCTGGTTGCTTGTGAGACTTTCTCCATTGGTGTTGAGTCATAAAAGGCAGAGCCAGGCCTCCGAGGGAGCTGGCTGTGGGGAAGCCCAGTTCCTGGGCCCTCCCCTAACCTCCCCCTGCAGTGGGCGGCCTTGGCTTTTTCCACTCCCCTGCTCAGTGTCCATCCTTCCTTTACAGGCTTCAGCACAGCCGACCTCCCCTGGACTTACACCCCAGGCCCTTCCACCCCTAGCCAGTGTCCCCAGTCCCCATCTGCTCCTTCCTGGGGACTTCACAGGCACCCAGCCTGGCTCTGAAACCAGAGGTGTGTACCTGAGGCCTGTCAGCGCAGCAAGTACTCGGGCTACTCCTGGCACCTGGGCTCCCTCAGTTCAGCCTGGGCCCAGCCAAGAGGGTGGTCAAGACCAAGTTTACTCTCTTGTTGCCATGGGCCACACTGACCTGGAGGCTGAGCTTGAGGACATCCAGCGGCAACTGCAGGACTACCAGACCATGAAGCAGAACCTCTGGTAAGAACCGGAAACACCCCTGCTATCCACCCACACTGTGCACTGCCAGTCCCCCATATACCTCTCAGTCCTGCTCAGGAAGGCCAGGTTGGCCTTACCTGTGGGACAGAGGACAAAGCTGGCAAGTGGTCTACCCAGTGATTGTGACATGGGACAAAAAGGGCCCAGGAAGACAGGCCTGGGCCCCAGCTGCACACAGTGAATTGCCATGTCTTGCCTGTGGTTTGGGTCTGTAGCACGGGTCCTCCCGGCTGGGGACTCTCACCATGAGTAGCAACCTTAGAGGGACAGGGAGGGTTTCTGCCTGGGCTCACCAAAGTTGCAGTCTGCTGGAAGGTGGAGGCTGGAAGAGGTGCTCTCCTCCCTCCACCCAAATCAGAAGTAGCTGTGTGTTTTTCCCCAAGCCTCCACCAAGGGCCCAGCCAGGCAGACAGCAGGTGTCTCACTTCCTCAGGTCCTACCAGCGGCAAGCGAGTAGCTTGCGCCGGTGGCTGGAGCTGAGCCGGGAGGAACCCAAGTCTGAGGACCAGGAAGCAGAGCTGCAGGTGCAAGAACAACTGCAAGAGGTGAGGCCCCAGGCGGTCCTGGGATGGGCTCTGGCTGTGCTGCCTCTCAGCTCGGCCTGTCCCTTCCTGGCCCCCAGGTGGAACTACAGATCCAGCAGCTGGCTGCAGAGCTCCAGGCCCGGCGCCAGCCTATCAGTGCCTGCAGTGCCCGTGTCCAGGCCCTGCGGCAGGCTCTGTGCTAGAGCCATCGCCCCAGGGAGGCCTCAGCCCACCTCCAGGAACAGACTACAAAGCTAAAATGTTTTATTTTTTTATTTCAAAATGTTGCAATTAAATGAATTACTGTTCAGAAGTCTCCCACTTTTCATACAAAAATACTGTGCTACTGATACAGTTGAAAAAGTTCAAATGGCTTCTCCTGCAGGAGAAATTCACAGAGTCCCCAGGAGACGTGAACCTGGCCTTGTCCCCATCATCAGTGGCTTCCTAAGGCCTACACACCTGGGGACAGGTTTTCTAGGCACTGACCCTGCCTCCCCACCCAACCCAATATACCAAGGGTCCTCTGCCACCAACAGAAGCCCCTGAATCAATAGCAGCAACTTTCCCATATTTAACATAGGTCTAGATCTGGGGGAGGGGATATAAGCTCTCCCTGGCCTAGCTCAGCCACCACTGTGCCTGTCTCATTCAAATGGATTCAGTAATCGGTCTTGCCTGCCGAAAAGAACTTGCCAGCTCCAGGTCACTCTCATCAGGGTCTGCAATGTGCCTCACCATTAGTCACCATCCTCAGAAGACGCTGGCAGTTGGGTGATACATTCAGCCACAAGAGTGAAGACAGCTTTTCCCCATGAGTAGGGTGGAGTGAATTTGGGAACAGAAAGTGGTTGCATTAAAGGCCCTGCTTTGGGACAGGCCCACAGTCAGTGCCAGGAGGCACCCCATGCAGGGTAGACCAAAAGCAGTTATGGGAGGAGCAGCAAGAAGGTACATTACCACTTACCGTCTTAAACGGAAACCAGACCAACTGAATGCTTAGCCAGGAGACGTAGGGTCTCCAGTTTATACAACAGAGGTTAAAACCTCCAAAAGGGAATTTGAGATCATCCTGGCACTTAACTTTCTCTTTAGGGTGGGAAGAGGGGATGCAGTAGGTCTAGGGTAGAGTAAGGGCTCTGACTTCCTCATCTGCACCTCTGGGATAGCAGGAACAGAAGTCACCCAGGTCCTGCCTGGTCAGACCCCATGGCCCCGAGAGTCCCCTCTCTGGATAGCCACGGAGGTTCTCCTCAAAGAGACCCCCCTGTTTCTGTTTGGAAAAAATCCCTCTAGCTGAAGCCAGGAAAGTTGCTCTAGAGGGAGCCCAGAGCCTCTCCAAATCGGATTTTCTGTCCCGCTTTCAGCTTGAAGTCGAAGTCCTTGGGGGCCTCGAAGATAAGCACGATGGTGGAACCCAGGTTGAACTCGCCCAGGTGCTCGCCCTTGCGCATGGGGATGCCCTCCTTGTTGGCGTGCGTCACGAAGCTGAAGTCGTTGTAGGAGCCCTTGCTATACTCTGGGCTGTTTGTGTGCAGATCCTGGGGGAGGCCAGGCACACAGCATGTCAGACCTTCTCCCTGGACCTTGAACAAACCTCTGCTGCCTGTCCCAAACTCAGCTTGGAAAGGGAGGTGGGGACAGCAATTCAGCCCATAGGCTAGGTCTAACCAGATAATCCCGGACACCAGCTATGAACTGGGCCACTCAGGGACATGGAGGAAGCAGGTCTCTGTTCTCCAGCATGAATGGTGCTGCCAGACCAGCACCCAGGGTGGGCAAGGGGCAGTCACAAACCGACACCAAGAAAGGCAGTGCTGTGGGCGGTGACCACCGCCTCACACACTGGGCCTCCAATCAGCACGCCCCACCCAAGATCAATATTCCCCTTTGGTTCCCAGCAGAAGCAAAGTGCCAGGCTGGAAGGTTAAGTCCTTCCCTCTCCAGCCACCTCCAGAAGGGCAAGTAGCAGCAAGTATGTGTGGAGGGGCCCAGAGCAGGAGCTCAGGGCCCAGTCCTTCCTAGAAATTAGTCATGATGGACCTGGCTGCACAGGAGACAGGGCAGGGGGACCCCAAGTGGCCCAGCCGTTGGGCTTCAGCAGGGTCTGAGCTCTGCTTACCCGATCGAAGTAGATGCGGATGGAGCCCACATTGGTGGCCCCCACGGCTGTCAGCGAAAAGAAGCCATGTTTCCAGTCCCCAGTCAGGACTACCCGCTCATTGTGGCAGAAGAGCTCTTTGATCCAACGGGCCATGCCGGGATTCACAGACATCAGGGAGCCTGTAAAACAGGGACACTGTTACTCTCCACCCAACGGAAGGACCAGCTACCCAGAGCCCAGCGTCACCCTCATGTCATTTCAAATACAGAGTGGGCTGGACCCTCATTTCCCACTCTTGGCCAGACTAAAGCAGTCACCTCCCAGCTTTAGCACCCCAAATCTGCAGCCTGGATCTTTTGACACCTAGAAGCTGAGGACATTCGTCTGGGGCTCACAGGAGTAGCTCTTGGCCATGTGCCAGCCCTGGCTTACCTGGGAAGTGACGCCGGTGGGACACAGTCCAGTCTGTAGGGGAGTGGAAGCAGTGGTAGTCCCCAGGGGCCAGGTAGATGACGCAGTGGTAGAGCTCGTTTCCTTCTCGGGTGACCAGCTGGTTCTTAAAGGAGCTGCAGGAGGTGTCTGGAGGGGGCAGACACAAGGGCCAGGTTCTCAGACAAGCACCTGACACAGGGCCTGTGTGCAATCTAGACACAGGGAGGCCCCGAAGCTCTGGGCAGAGTGATTCCAGGCCCAGGGCCAGCTCTCAAGTTCAACAGCCTTCCCAGCATCCCTCCGCAACCCACTCCCAGCCTTCACCCTCTGACCTCCAGCCCTGCCACAACTTGCAGGACCATCTGGCTGCGAGCAGGCCAGGACCCACCTGGTGAGAAAGGCAGGTCCCCTGCAGAGGTACGTGGGCCCAGAAACGACTCCAGTGAGTAGGTGACCCCCTTCACCTGCTCTACCTCACAGTTCTTCACCTGCCCAAAGTTGAGGATTTTCCCATCTGATGGGCTGATCTGGAAGACAAGGAGAGGCTTGCTGCCGGGGAGGGGACACAAGAAGGGAAGGGGACACAAGGCAGGGCCTGCTCCTCCCTGGGAGGTACGCCCCTCCTAGGCTGCCCTTGGAGGCTGCTGGGACTGGTTCCCAAAGGCACAGGCAAGATCACGTTTCTGGAGGGAGGAGTGGAAGGCAGGGTCGAGGCTCACCACGCTATGCAGGCCACACACGGGTCGGGCCTGCGGCTTCAATTTGCGACGGAAGAACTCGCTGAGGTTGCGGTAGTGGTGCAGGTCCTCCACGGCAGCCTCCTTCATGTTCACCCCAAAGGTCCAGATGTACAGGCTGTAGACGGGCCCGCGTAGCCAGTGGGGCAGCTCCACCTGGTTGAGGCGGCCCCAGGCCCGTGACAGCAAGCGTGTTGGCACCGATTTGTACAGGGCCACCTGCAGGCCACAGGCAGGCAGATGAGTCAACCACACTTCAAGTCCACTGTCCCCCCACAGCTGCCTCCCACCATGGAGGTCACCTCCAGAGGCCTGGGCACCCCACTGTAGCTTTGTGGTGTGGTTGTTTCTCACTAGGAACCAGACTGAGGCTGCCAAATAGTCTCACAAACTTGAGTACTGGCTGAGACTGTGACATAGTAACTTACAACTCAGGTGTTTCAGTTATTTTATACAGAAGTGAACAGCAGCCACCGTAGTCCCTAGATAAAGACTGCCCAGCACAGCCTTACTTCTTGAAGCAGGGGAGGGAGTGTAAATGGATCTGATACCATCACAGACAGGCTGTGGCAGGAGGCAGTGCTGCCTGTGTCCCAGACCACGGAAAGGAGCAGGAGCGCCCCGGGCACACGGGAAAGTCTACAGCCCAAAGTGCATATCCTCGTCCTAACAGGAAGCAGGAAAACACACCTCCTCCTCCCAAAGTCAGAGACTTTGGCATCACACAGATTCACTGTATCACCGTCACCAGGGCCAGATTCAGGGCCTGGATATGCCCTGTAGAGCCCTGCCTGGCACTCGAGGTGTTCTATAACGGGCCAGTCCACAAAGCTGTCTGCACCTGGGCTCCTCCCTGGAGACACAGGGAATTGGCCCCCTCAGCCAAGCTCTGAGGGCCAGGAGACTCTTCCAGGTGCTGCTGGTGCAATGGGACCTGCATCTAATTGGCAGCTGCTGCTTGTCTGAACACAACCAAATCCCCAAGGTGTAGAAGTAATTTCATTCCACCTTAAACACCTCGAGGAAGTATCCCAGAGCTCCTCCCAGATGACACCTGTCCACTGGAGCAGCCAAGGCTGCTGTGCAACCCTAGGTCTAATTAGCCAAGGGCCCCTCATGTACCCTTGTCCTTTCAAGCCCTCACAACATCCACCTGGGCTCTCCAAGGACCCAGGAGCAAGGTTTTCTCCTTGGGGTCAGCCTGTCCTCCAGAGGACAGCCTGGGGCTCCCAGGTCCCCAAAGGTATCCCCATCCTACAGGGCTCAAACAGGCTCTAGGCTTCCCAAACCACCCTCTGGCATCCAGGAATTAATGTGGATTCTCAAAATCACCTCTAAGGAAATCAAACACCATTTCTGAATGCCTAATGTGGGTTCCCTCCAGAAGCACAGCCCCCAAATGGCGCGAATGCAGACAGAGAGCAGGCAATGAACAGTGAGCCCTCAGTCACCTTCCTGCCACCCACACGGCCACCAACCAGCCCGGCCCTCTCAACCATATTGCCTTTCGACATGATCCTACCAGAGGGCTCAGCCCCCACAGCCATCACCTCTAATCTGACAACTGTCTCCTGGGTCTCAACCTTGGGCTGCCTGAGGGTGGGCCAGGTCAGCAGCCTGTGCACACTTACCCTGCTCACGGGCCTCCATCCCACCCGGCTGAGCGGTCTGAGGGCACCGAAGGGCAGGAGGTAGTAGAGGACCATCAGGGGCCAGGAGCGCAGCTTCAGGGCAGGTCTGGACATGCAGCTCAGCTGTCCCAACCTCCGCCTCAGGGCCAGCTGGGGGAAGTGCAACCTGCAGGGCACATGTCCGTCCATGCCCAGGGTCAGTGGCCAGGGACTGGGAGCCCCCTCCCCACCCTCAGCAAACTCACTTCTCGATGGAGTCTGTTAGCATTGGCCACGCCCCTCATCCCAACCCCATTCTGAGTTAGAAGCATGGCTGCCTCTGGTCAGCAGACTCACTTCCCAGTCTCCCACCTGCCTGCCAGCTGAGGGGAACATGGGACATCGGCAATGGAGACACAGAGGGTTGGACCCAGCTCCTAACTTCTGAGAGAGAGCAGCTTCTGAACATGGGAGGGGCCCCAGCAAGGTCCTTCAAGGCTAAGCACCACCTGGGCCTAGCACAGGGTCAACAGGTAAGACAGGTGCAGAGCCAGCTTCATAGCCCCCACCCTCCTGGGGTGCCAAGAACATTCTGATCTCCCAGAGTTCCTACCGGCGTAGCAGCACATGGCAGTGGGGAAGCAAATGCTACCACCCAACTGTAGGATCTGGGGAAATCTCTTTACAGCTCCAGGCATCTTATTTCCTCATCTGATAAATTAAGTGGTTGGGCCCGACAAGATCACAAAGGAAAAAACACACACACATATCCCTGGCAGCTACTGCTCCATTCATCTGCATTAGCAGTCTGTTAGGGTCTCTAAAAACGACCCAGAGATTGGTAGGGGTAACCTGCCCGCACCCTCAGGCCTTGCAGGTCTGCTGGGGCTACAACCTGACCTAGGGCCCTCCTTTCGGCAAAGGTGGGTGGGCCTTTCCTCAAGTTGTACTAGCCCAAACCTAGTACAATCAGCACAAGCTCAACCTTTCTACCAGAACTCTGACCTCCTAAGGCATATCAGTGAGGCCCAAGTCCCCTTTGTCACATGCCTAAGCACTAGAAAATGCTCCAGAGACCCCAGTGTAGCCAGCAGGAGACCACACTGCCACCCACTATAAGAATGCCCCAGGCCTCAGTTTCCTCATCTGCAAAAAGACTGCATTCAACCGGATAATCTAAGGCTCCCATCTGTGCCTGTGCATGCTCGGAGAAGCTGTGTTCTCTGCCCCTACCTGCT